CTAAAGGAGGCAATGTTCTCTGACTGATGCAGTTGGATGGTGACTCGTCTTCCATTGGCTAATCATGTTTCTATTTATGTTTCACACTGCAGGTGGAATGAGTCTGAAATCCCAGCCTTCTGGGATGCAGTGGTACTGGTCAGAGTCCTGTACCTGAGTGTTGCTGCATGTGGTCAAACCTCCTCTCCCAGTCCACCTTCACCTGCACCTCCTGACCCACCTCCACAGGTGAGGATGTGAAGTGCACGGCTTCTGCTCCCTGCCTGGTCACCCTGAGGACAGAGACGTCTCCGATCGACCCGTGATCATCAGGCTGAAGGAGGAGAAGAAAAGATTAATTCTGATCATGGCGAGAGATTTTAAAGATTGCATCAAAAAACACTGACAATAATAATAATTCTTTTCTCCAGGCAACCACGCCTCTATAACTGTTAACTCTGAACTGTAACTATAGTTAAATGATCTTATTGTATTGAGTTTTCTCTCTTTTGTTAATGAACAAATACATTTCAGCATTTCTTTTACTGATCATATACTGAAGCTGAGAGCAGCTCACCTGACCCCCTCCTTCTGGAAACAGAATGGTGTCTTTCAGTTTCACATTGAAGCCTTTAAGAGTTTCTTTCTTTCCTGCGACTTCTCGCTTTAACTCCGCGGGGCAGCAGGACACCACAGTGGTCGTAAACTAGGGAACAAATAAAAAACAAAAAAGATGTCCTGCTCAACAATGTAGAGAGGGATGAGGTTAGACACACAAAAAACATTTGAAGCATGATGTTGTAAATGTGAGCTGCAAGCAGTCCAGGTCAGTCTCCTATTGGTATATGCCCATTTTTTCGGTTTTAAATGTCATGTTTGCGTAAGAGGTTGGTATTTAATTACTAGTTTGTTACTATTAATTACCATTGTTGACAACAAAAATCATCCAGTTATTATATTCTTCATTCCTATTCTTTACAACTGCAAACCCTCTAAACTTGTACCAGGAACATGCTGCGTTTAGCTTCCATGCTAACGTTGTTTGCAGTAAAATGAATGGGGGAAATGAATGCGTCTTAATGAGGATGATTTTATATAAATAACACATACCTCCTTCATATAACAGTCCCTCTGACACTGAAAAGCCATAGTGGGGTGTTTTAAAGGAAACAACAGCGGCTGAAACACAAGTTTACGCGAATAACAACTGACCCGGGATCAGCTGTCAGCACAGTACGGCAACTGCGCTGGACCAAACCTACTAACTTCGACTTTCCAGACTACGGTCTAGAAAGTATACACACGATTTCCTTTGCTTTCTAAATATATTCTTGTAACCTGCCTCAATATATCATACAGATTAAATGAGATGAATTTAAATGACATTTTCTTAAATGTATAATTGTGAAAATTGCCTCTCATCTCTCTTAATGAATTTATTTTTTCCTTTCTTCCTTTCTTCTTTTTATTCTCTGTCTCCAGTAAACCTTTTGGATGATGTTGCCATGTTTGTTTACCTCTGTGTTTTGCATTTTTCTGATAAATCAATGGGAGTCTTTTTTGCAAAGTTGTATTTTTTAAAGCATGTTGAGGCAGCAGTGGATGTGAGTGAGCCAAGTTCAACAGAACCAGAGCTGAGAACAACATTTTATGGTATGGAAAACACCAAAAAGGTAAATGAGTCTAAAACCCTGTTTTTTAAGTAGTCGTTTATTATTATTATTTTAAATTAGCATTATTAATTACTATTAAGAGTGACCATTAAAGGGTAACAAATAAGATTAGAAAGAAGGAAAAGCGTTTAAATTACATTCATCAGACTGAGCACCAACACACCAGAGGGTAATTTTTAAATGTCATTTTTATTAAACTTGTCATTAAATGTGTTCAAACTCAGGAGATGGAAATATATTTGATTAAAATACATAAAGTTGTAGAAAATGATATGAAAACAGCAAATGTTATGAGCAAATGTTACAGCTTCAGCAAGGACTGAAAAGTTGGAGTCTGTGGGTCTCAGTCCGACTGTGGAGGAAAAATTAGGAACGTTAACAGAAAGACTAAAATACATTGTTTAGATGTTAATGTGATTGACAGTCGTTCTTACTGCACTTACATCACTGAGGTCACCCATGTCTGGAGTGTCTCCTTTGTTACCTGAGGCCATTTCCTGGATCATCTTCAAGAATAAAGATAAAACACACATTAACTATAATAACTATAAACCCAGAGAAAGGTCATAATTCACTGATGCATGAACTGGATCACTTGGCCTGATCATTTTGTTTTGCAATGAGTTTCCACTTACATCCATGTATCTGTCGTACTCTTCTTTTCCATCATCTTCTTCGTGTTCCCAGTCCCTCCAGTTGTCAAAGTCTACAGTAATCCAACTTGGCTGAAAAAATTTAAATCAATATTTACCAAATTACTAGAAATGAATTATAGCTCACGTTTGAGTAAGAAGTTCTAAGGAAAAACGCACCTTAGCAGGATCCTTCTGCAGACGTGGCCATTGACAGTCAGGCGTTGCCTT